CCCCAAAACCCCAAAACCCCAAAACCCCAAAACCCCAAAACCCCAAAACCCCAAAACCCCGAGATGCTATTTAAATATTGGAATATTTAATAATCAATAAATTATTTATTCTCAAATGTTTGAACTAAATCGAAATATTCAGAATTCTGTCAAACAAGATAAAATATACTGTGAGAAAGATTATCTGGACTGGAAGGCTTTCCCTCATCCAACTTTTGGGGTTTGCGATGAGTCTTGGACCAGCGAAAAATATGATGAAGGCCTTAAAGAAAAGTCAAGACCTGGAGATATGCTACTGGGAGATTCTTTACTAAGAGATAATACGAATAACCAATTAAAAGTATCTACTTCTTTTAATTTATTTCCACAAAATGAATCAAGAGATCCAACCCATATGGAATCTGTGCATTCACTAGAAGCCTCAACAGTTGAATTTAAAAAGAAAGGAAGAAAACCTGAATTGAATGGACTTAAAAAGAGGAAAGATATTGTCATGAAATCATGACTTCGAAAAATCAGGAGGTTCCATTGAGATAGACTCAAGAGAATTGCCCAGCTGACATCTAGAGTAAAACTCCAGAAAAAAGAATTGATAAATTTTCTCCCTAAATACATTAGCCAAGAGTTTGGAATGGAGCCAAATGAAGAGTTCATTAATGTTCTTGATTCAATCTTCTTTATTGGCAATCATAGAAATAAGAGAGCTAATAGTTTTGGAGATGCATACAGCAGCTACAATAAGGCCAAACTCCATAAATTAATGGAAGATCCTTACTTCAAATGTTTAGTTTACCACTATTATTTCGAAACAAAGTTTGAAGTGCAGGATATTGACACTAAGATAGGAATTCAAATAATGCTGAACTTATAAAGAACTTGAAGATTACTATATCCCAATTCATGGGATCCCCAAGCCTGTTAATAAAGACTTAATTTCTGATTCATAAATCTTCCCTCCAAATCATGCTTTCTTCCAATAACTTATCATTTAAAGTAGTGATGCTTAAGTCTCAATAATACTCAAAACTTTAATCCCAGCTAATCGTCCCTTATAATTACACTTAAAGAGAAAATTGTTGTGTACCTCGTCTCAGCTTTAGGCCAGTATGTCCTCTGGCTATAAGAATTAAAGGAATAATTTTAACTCATTTCTGCGGAGCGTGAAGAGTTTTTAGTTATTTTGATAGTGAAAATATATCCCAATGCTATATGTTCTAAGCTCGGGATCCTAACCCCAATCTCAGCCTTGGAAATTTGTCAGACAACTCAACAGAAGCTTCCAGATGGAGATTCAAAAGTTTCAAATGTAAGAAGGTTCAATCAAGTTTTATAAACTTCTTGAGTTAAATTTCTTGCGATCTATAGAACTCTGTGCGTTCCCAATAATCTCAGAGGCCAATCGGACTTGCTAGAGTTGGTACTTTTAACAATAGCGAAGTTGGGAAGATTTAGGATAATAATTTAAAAACATTTAAATTCATAATTTTAGCCATACGTTGGAAACCCAGAACTAAAGTTTGGATTATTCAATCTGAAAAGAAGTCTTCATCTAGTTTATTTAGTATATTTGGGCAAGAGTCTCAGTCAGGATTTTTGATAAATTTTATAGGTAATGGAAGGACTTTTTATGATTTTTAAAATTACTTTAATAACGAGGGCTTTCTAAGTTGGGATTTTATCTATAATGTATAATTTAAAAGGTATTAATAAAGCTAAGACTCTTAATCTGAGCTATGAATTTCTTGGGTTACATATCTTAACACTCTGGCATTCTTACACTAGTTTAAAATTCCTGGTGATAATGATTAAAACCAGGTTGTAGGCTTAAGCATTAGAAGGAAAAATTTATTAGTTAGCGATGAAAAATTTCGAAATGGGGTAAATAATTTTTAATTTTGTTGATGATTGTATATACAAGGCTAAGAAAGCCTGGCTATTTTATAACTTGACAAGAAGTCTAAAATTGTCATTTAGTTATATAAAGGCGCTAGGACAAGACTCTTAATCATAACTTGATATAATTCTTCAAAAGCTGAATCTGTTATCACTTATCTCCTTAAATAGGATATTAACTCATGTGGCCTTTCAAGAAATTAAGGTGAGGAGTCTTCATGATTTCTGGTCAGAGCTACCTCAGACATTCATAATATATTAGAATAGTCCTTCATATCTCATGATTTCAAAACTACAATGTATTAATATGTCCATAAATCAGAGAACCAAACTAAAGCGTTATGATTGGAATATTTGAATTTTTCAACAAGCTTAAGTGGTAGTTGGCTATATAAAGTTTTGGGGTTATAGAATATTTGAAAACCATTCTGCATTTGTATACAATAAACGTAGAGAAAAGAGAAAGCGATACATTTAAATTATTTCTTTTTTACTTAAGAAAGGATTAAACTGAAGATTTTTGGAACGATTTTTAAGACTTTTTTGAAAAATTGCTAAAGATTATTAAATGAAGAATTTGCTCGAGGAGATTTTAGAAATTACTAAGAAAAATTCTTATCTTGGTTCACTTAATAACCCAGCTCTCTTTCTTTATCGATTTTAAGTCTGAATTCTTAATTTTTCAAGAATAGAGTCTTATTTTTGATGTATAATTAGAACCGTTACGGTTTAGAGAATTAGTATGCTCATAAATTGAACCTTAACTTAAAACATTATATGTAATTTTTGATATAAATTTTCCAAAATGTGCAGCATCGTATCCTCTATGTTTCAACATTCTAAGGCTCCTAATCCTTTAGGGTTTAGACCTGAGTTAAATAAAATAACAGAATTTTGAGTAAGCCGCTCACCTTCGAACTTACTTGGATTTTTCGGAAGTTTCTGAAGGTCTTACATTTGGAAAAGAATGAGGCCAAGTTAGAAATTATAAGCTAAAAGAGCTTTAAAGACAATCAAATAGCTATATAACTTTCTTGTTGTTTCACCCGATGTGCGGAAATGGATACTTATGAATTTTCTTATCAATCATTTCACTTCTTCTTTGAGAATACTTCTTAACTAGCTAACATTTTTATCTGAATTAGCAAATTAACTATGCTTCAAAATTGAGGGCTGCTTCATGATCATTTTTATGATAAAGTTAGCCTTTTGATGGAATTCACCCTAGCAAAAGTTTGATAATCAGATTAGAAGGAAGACACGTATGTTTGAAGTAACGTTAGTTAATGAAGCTAACCAGCAAATAATAAAAAGTGAATGAGCTGTCTTTCAATTCAAATATGAAACAGGCTAGTGTTTCTGAGTTGAAAACTTCATAGTAGTACTGCTCCATCTAATCAGAGATCCTCTTAGAAGTAATTTTAGAATAAAAATCCGCATTTTGGGCATGGGCCTTAAAGAAGTCTGAACATTTAAATGGCCTACATTTATCTATAATTTCCGAGTTCCCCATTAAAGAAGTTTCCTAGGATTTATTCTTCTTAAAGAGTTTATTTAGTATTAAACTTTGATAATCATTAATCTGTTTCAGTAAATAAAAGGTTTAGATAATTTAAATAGGGATTTTAGTAGAGGATATGAAGTTTTATCGCTTATAATAGTTTATGAAGGAATTGGTGATATATGTCCATAACTTTAGTAGGAAGATTTAAATATTATTAGCGTTCAGTAATGATGGTACTATTAGGGGTTTTGGGGTTTTGGGGTTTTGGGG